TTATTTATATATTTGGCCCATGTATCTGTAACAATAAACTTAGCACTCAGACAATAATTGCAACAGTGAAGTTGGCACCCAATGATAAGTGTAATGGCAATGGCAGTAAATAAAATTCTGTGCCTTTCACTTCCCTAAACCAAACAACCAAACGTTATTTTCTGTCTGCCATGTATTAAAGTGTCTTTCTTCCACAACAATGATATCTACGGTAACAATAATCTGATTTCAGGAAGCAATGTAGCAGAAAAGGACACAATTTCAAGAAGCAATTTAACAGCGTTGGACGGAACTTTAAATGGAACCAAATAATTTTGTTGCATAAACTTAAAAAAAATTGAGCATCAGTAATTGGAAAATAATAATTTTTAAAGGAAAATCTAGAGTTCTTTAATATTGGCTCTGATACCACATGTAAGCAATTATATAACTCCAGCACCAAGATCTTTACAATTCATGATTTTCACATATATATGAATTGATCAAGATACATACCTTGATCCATAGCGATAGATGAAAAATTTTAACCTGCAAAATAGGAACTAGTAAATCTATAAACTGTTCTCTCTCTTTTCCTCTCTATATTGAATGATTTATTTGATGAGCTTCATCCACATTTATAGGCAGAGAGAGATAGTTCAAAAGTCATGCAAACCAAAAGTCATGAAAACTATTTACTTTCCATCAAAGTGTATAGCTATAAATCTGCCACTTCTAAATGAATCAACATAATTTTAACAATAATAAATCACTTAAATTAATTTATTAATAATATTACTTGGGCCACATTAATTGGTCTCACAGAACGGCATCTCTAATAGGGAATTCGTGGACGACTCTATATTAGGGAATTCTTTCTTATGTCCCGCCCGAGATTTAACAGAGAAAACAAGAGAAATGGTTGACCAGAAAACGCCAGTTCCATGGTTTCCGGTGACGATTTAGGGAAAAACAAGGAGCAAACGGCCTAGAACAAATGGTAGAATGTTAGGTGCATGGCAGAAACTGCGGTGGCTGTCTGAGGAAGAGTTATCCTTAAGTTTCATAAGGCTTTCTTATATGAGAGAATGGCTCCTAAGTAATAGCTAGGGTCTTTTGAGTCATTACGTAGTGTGGGTTGGGTTGTTACATTCCAGACCGAGTCAAGTATTTGTTATTCAGTTAGCCCATGTTGGGCCGCGTTGTGTCGCAATGGAGCCATGTTCTGTTTAATTGGTCAGTTAGCATCTTTTGTGGGTCGAGTCATCTATGTTTCCGTTATAGTCCAAGTCTAGTCTATAAATATGTTCATTTGAATTCAATGAAAGGCATCACAGGCCTATTTCCAATTCAGTGGGTGTGTGGGAGAACTTACATCTCTAATAGCCAGATTAATTGAATTTATTCTTTTACATTGTTGAATTGCACTTAACAGTAGTATCAGAGCCGCGTTCCAGCGACATGGGTCTACCTTGATCCGTTCGAGTTTATTTGGATGCGCTAGCCGCAATTAAAGGAGAGAATTCGACCCGGTAAGAAGAAAAAAAGCAACAACAAGGCTTGGTAGAAGCTGTGATACAACAATTAAGCACTTTAGCTCCTTCCTATGAACAATTGGTGGCACTCAACAATCAGGAGCGAGTTCTTCAAATCAAAACTCAAACGTTAGTAATAATCCTATATTTGAACGGGATGGTGGGATTACAGCTAGGCCGCTTAGGTTGGAATTTCCTAGATTTGATGGGGTTGAACCAAATGAATGGATTTTAAAGGTGGATCAATTCTTTTCATACTATAACACCCCAGAGAACCAAAAGCTTCAAATAGCTTGTTGACCTATGGTCGACTTTTCATTTTGATTATCACAAACAAATTATGTTTATTACTAACAAATTGATTTCAAGTGTCCATGGTGATTATTGCACATGAATAAAACTGATGACACGAAATTCGAGGCCAATTAAACATACGATGATCATTCAATCAAGGCGATGAAAAATGATATGGCAAAACCCATAAAAAGATATCTCAACGAAAATCGAGACAAAAGTCAAAGTATTGCTAAGAAACGCAAGCCAAGATGTTCAAAACAAAGTACTTAGACTTATCACATGTAAAGGTAAAAATTGGAACATGTATGTTTAAAACATAATAACATTTTGAAAAACATTTTAAAACGTCTCTAGAGTACCTACATTTGATGAAAATAAGAAACGAGGACGTTCCAAGCTAAAAGTGGCGTAACGGACGTCTGGGCGTACAAGTAAATATCGGACGTCCGGTATCCCAGTTTTTGGCTCCAACTGTCAAATTTCCAACGTTCTAATTTTTTGACAAAATTAACGGATATTTGATCGTCCGGATGTCTGGTACGGTGCGTCCGGTAAGGCAAATTTTTTGACCGTTTGAGTATTATAAATACCTCATTTTTTCTCCACTTGCAAGAACTTTTCTTGAGCATTAAGAGAGGCTTTTATTGATCACAACCACCTTATTCTCTATCATTAAGAAGATCAATTGTCATAAAATTCTTGAAAAACTTTTGGACAATTAATTTTGTGAAAATCTTTGGTCGTTCAAGAAGTTTTTCATTTCAACACTTCAAGTTATACTCATTGTCATCTATTGAAGCGTTTGCCTCTTCTCTTCTATTATTAACCTTGAATCCATCATTCGATAAGAAGAGAAGATTTCACTTGTAATTCATTTTGAATTGTGGGTCGTATTGAAGTCCCGGAAAGCTCAATTTTGTAAAAGAATCGGTGCTCCTTAGTTGTAAGTCACCGGAAGCGTTGTAAGAGGGTTGAATTACATACAAGTCAATCAATATAGTGAAAAAAGTCTTACTCGTGACGAAAAGTTTGGTAACGGGAGACGTAGATCATTACGTTGGATCGAACCTCCATAACATATCGTTTGCACTCTCTATCCCTTTTACTTAACGTTTTACTTTGTGCAAACTTATATCATTTCATCTACGTGGTTATTTTATTTCTTTACCATTTGTGCGATCATTAGTTTAAAATCTTGAAGTAGTTAACGAAAAATTTTTAATAACCAATTCACCCCTCTCTTGGTTAGCCAATCTTGGACTTTCATAGCTTTCTTCCACATGGAAGGGAAAGCCCTTTCATGGTACTCTTGGATCATAGACTTGTGTCCACCGACCAACTGGGATGAGTTTGTGGCAGCCTTAAGAGTGAGGTTTGGACCCTCCTCTTATGAGGATCCAGTGGGTTAGTTTACTAAGTTGAGACAAACGGGAACAGTGGAAGAGTACGAAACCCATTTTGAGGAATTATCTAATAAAATCAAAGGATTAACAAAGGAATTTCAGATGAGTACCTTTTTGAGTGGGTTAAGAGATTATCTCAGAATCACTGTCACCATGTTCAAACCCACCACCTTATCTACTGCATTCGGCTTGGCCAGGTTACAAGAAGAACAAACTTTGATAAGAACCCAAAAATATGTAACCCGAAATAGCCACGGCACCCCAACCCCGAACACATTTCCCAAACTGCCAAGACCTCTACCGATCCTAAGACCTCCACCTCGACCTCCACCTAATAGACCTATTCAGACATTCCAAAACAACACCAATAGAAATCCAGACCAAAACAGAAAACAAACCATGCCTATAAGAAGGATTTCACCAGCCCAAATGCAAGAAAAGAGGGATATAGGGTTATGTTAGTATTGTGATGAGAGATTCCAGCTTGGGCATAGATGTAATAGACCCAAAATTTTCTTATTAGAAGGTATTGAAGAGGAACAAGAAGGAGAAGAAAATGAAGGGGCCCTAGCCGTAATACAACTGGTACTTACCATTGGAGGAGAAGAGGAAGCTGAATTACTAGGGATCTCTTTGCATGATGTTGTTGGATCCCTAGCACCAAAAACCATGAGGCTAACAGGGGTTATCAACAAAATCGGTGTAATTGTTTTGATTGACACAGGAAGGACGCATAGCTTTATTGACCCAAATGTAGCAAGGAAGGCCAAACTGACAGTGGAAGTGAGCCAAATGACAGTAACGCTGGCTAATGGAGCCAACATCCCTTACCTTGGTTTATGTAAGGCAATCCCACTCCTATTACAATGTTTGGACACTATACCAAACCTGAACTTGTTGGTTTTGGGAGGGGATGTGACATTGTTTTAGGCATGTATTGGCTAAGGGAATTGGGGACAGTAGTATGGAATTTTATTGATTTAATTATGTCTTTCACTATTGATAACACTGTTGTTGCATTAAGAGGAATACAGTTGCCCAGTCGAGTAGTAGATGAAGTTGAGTATGTGAAAACCCTCAAGTATCCTTCTGCCAAAGGAGTTTGGCTATAGTTTTTGGAAGGAGCCAACAAAGACCCATCTGAACCTGTTCCAGCCACTGTACAAGGGATAGTTGACAAGTTCAAAAAGGTGTTTGATGAGCCAAGTGGTCTGCCTCCACCCAGGAGTCATGATCACAAAATTACATTGCATCCTGGTGCTAACCCTACTTGTGTAAGACCTTACGGGTACCCATACTATCAAAAGGAGGAAATTGAAAAGGTAGTGGCCGAGATGTTGAGAAATGGAATTATCAGAAATAGCCAAAGTCCCTATTCTTGTCTAGTGTTATTAGTGAGAAAAACATATGGAGGATGGAGAATGTGTGTGGATTATTGAGCTCTAAACAAAGATACTGTGAAAGACATACCCAACATTGATGAGTTACTGGATGAACTCCAAGGAGCTCGGTTTTTTCTAAGCTGGATTTACGTTCGGAATACTATCAAATTACCAAAGACTGCTTTCAGGACTCAAGAGGGCCATTATGAGTTTTTGGTAATGCCTTTCCGTCTTACCAATGCTCCATCAACCTTTCAAAGGCCTTATTTAAGGAAGTTCTTATTGGTTTTCTTTGACGTTATCCTAGCTTACAGCAAGACCCTTCAGGAGCATGTGCAACACTTACGCACTATAATTAAAGTCAAGGTTAATAATTTTTTATGACACTTACACACTATAATGACGACACTTAAATTTAAAGTTAATATTTTTGACTGGGAAATCATTAGTGTGGCCAATATCGTAATTAAACTTTATATATATATTTAAATTAGAAGAGGTCAATGAAGATTGTGAAAATAAGGGAGTGATTCACTGATTCTAGAATTACCTTTCTATTTTGACCACATTGGAAATAGCTTATTTTTGGAAAAACTGAAGTGGTCAAATGACAGCACAAATCTTGTTGAATTGCCGACACTTTCCTATGTCTATTCCATGTACCTAAAGAAATATCATCCTGTCACTCGGTTTCATCACAATCAAGCCAGTTAATTTGTCACACGTAAGACACTACAATAATACAATGTGATGTGAGGAGAAATTGCAGTATTGGTACTTAAGCTATCGTTTGAGTAGAAAATTAAACTCTAACCTTTACAAAAAGAGAAAATTGGTCAACAATATTTAATTATATTGAACAACTTATATCTTGAAAGTGCTCAAATCTTCATGTTATCCTAGGGGCGTAGATTGGGCTAGGTAACTCTCTGAGACGAGCCTATGAATTCAACCTGTCATGAGCTCTGAGTTGTATAGACCTAACGTCTAAGGTAGCTAGCTAATTTTTAAAAACTCCCTCCATAAAGTTATTGCATTTGCTCGCCCTTTGTAAAAGAGAAATGCTATTCATCCCCATTGGGGATACATCCCCAATCTATGTGGAGTTAATGTGACATTAAATGATAGGTGAAATTAAATAAGTTATCTAATTTCACCTATCATTTACGTCCACATAGATTGGGAATGCATCCCACTGGGGATGAATAGTATTTTTCTTTGTAAAATGCCAATTTTTATGAAAACATAAATACATTATATTTTGAATTTCTTTTAAAAATGAAATAATGCATGACTAAGGTCTCAGATACCCATTGACACCCCTATGTGATTCTTAAAAACATGTTTCACCGGCCTGCTAGTACCATGACTTATTTACAATGTCATGTGATTCTCATATACATGTCCCACTTCAAAATTTTGGACACTGCCCCATATGTGGAATAAAATTGGACTTAACATGGTCACACAACGATGGTCAACCAAAGGTTATGGACCAAATTGGTCTTTTAAAGGTAGTGAGACCAATTTGTAATGTATACAATAGATTGAGGATTAAGTTTGTAAATTTCTCACAAAGAAACTATACTACTATTTTTATTTTAATACGCGTAGAAGAAGAGAGATAAAGTAGAGATAATATAGAAAAACAAATCAACAAACCACTTATTTAATTTAATCAATGGTCACTCAACTTTGCTATAAGTTACTATTTGCTCATCAAAATTTAAAAGATTACTCTTTACTTGCTTAATTTTATTATAAGTTACTATTTATTTATCGAAATTTAAAAGATTACAAATTGCTCTTCTAAATTTGAATAAAGTTATTCGTTGCTCACTAAACTTTGCAATAGATAATATTGATGAAAATAATACGAGTCATTGATGGGTAACTTTATTATAATTTAGAAGAACAATTTGTAACCTAAATTTCGATGAACAAGTAGTAACTTATAGCAAAATTAACTGAGCGACGAATAACATTTTGAATGTTAGTGAGTAAGTATTAACCTATAGCGAAATCCCATGACCATTCATTAAATTATCTCACAAACTGCCAGTTTCTCTGCAAGAAACCATATCTTTTTATCCCTCTTTTTATCTTCAATTCAATTCAACATCACTGTGTTCTGTGTGAAAATTTCTTTCTTCTGTCTACACAAGCAAGAGGAAAAAGGAGTGAAGAATTTGATTTTGAATTTGTTTCTTTTATGGAGTACTCCAGCATTGAATCAAAAGCATTGAAATCGAGTTTCCTCTCACGAATGGAAATGAAAACGAATTCTCAAGTGCTTCTTAACGATGATGGGTGGTGTCTCGCCGGAATTAACGGCGGCTCGGGTGACGATTTTCCTGTTGAGGAGCTTCTTAATCTTGATTTTCAACCAGAAGAGCCGTTTCTTCAAGAAGAAGAAGTTTCTGTTTCAAAGCTCTCTTCTCAACACAGTTACTCCAATTCTTCGTCCAATTTTTCCGGCGCCTCCGAGTTTGATAATCTCCTCGCCGGCGAACTTTCAGTTCCGGTATTTTCAAATTATATCTTTGGTGGCTTTACTTTTTCTTTTCGCTTAAAGAAAAAGAACCCATTTTTTCAATTTTTTACAGGCTGAAGAATCAGAGAACCTAGAGTGGTTATCGCAATTCGTGGACGACTCTATATCAGGGAATTCTTTCTTATGTCTCGCCGGGGATTTAACAGAGAAAACCAGAGAAATGCTTGACCAGAAAACGCCGGTTCCATGGTTTCCGGTGACGGTTCCGGGAAAAACAAGGAGCAAACGGTCCAGAACAAATGGTAGAACTTGGCCTCTGTCGTCGCCGTCGGTAAGTACCACGTCGTATTCATCTTTTGGCTATTCCGCAGACCCGGTTCAGGACACAGACAGAGACAGTTTTTCCAGCGTTGAAAACCAGCCTGCGAAGAAGCAGAAGATAAAACCGGCTGCAGAAACCTGTTCATTCTCCCAGACGGTTCGTCGGTGTACACATTGTCATGTTCAGAAGACCCCACAATGGCGAACCGGACCGTTGGGTCCAAAAACATTATGCAACGCTTGTGGCGTTAGGTATAAGTCCGGCCGGCTTTTACCCGAGTACAGACCGGCTTGTAGTCCCACTTTCTCTCAAGATGTTCACTCGAATAGTCACCGGAAAGTTTTGCAAATGCGGCAGAAGAAAGAGATATCCGGCCTTGTTGAACCCGGTTTGACTCCGATGGTTCCTAGTTTCTGAGTTCTAGAGACGGTTTAATTGTGAACCGGTGACTCAAAAATCGGTCTAGTTGGTAGATCAGATGGCATTTTAACGGAATTTAGGGAGGTTACAATTTAGGTTTTCATTTTCAAATTCTTTTATTTATTCATTCAAGCAAAATTTTATATTCTTTTTATTGTAATAGAATACTTATAGATTAAAATGAAGTCTAACATTCATTATTCGTTTCAATTTTAGCATGGAAATTAAAGTCGGATTTTTAATAGATTTTTATAAAAATTAATAAAATGTACGTAAATCTTAATTCCTTGTATGGGTACAAATAATTCAAAACGGTTGTTTGAGCTGAGCCTTTTTGTTTGGAGTTAGAGTAATGTTAAGGTTATGTTCGATTGCCACATTTTTTTATAGAAAATATCATATCCGAGTAAAAAGAATTCAACATTGATCGTTTGATTGCAACGTGAAAATGAAAATCGAATTCTAAGGTACAATTACTTTAAGCTGCATTTTTATTGTTTTCATGAAAACGAATTTCTATGAGTTTGGTAGATTTTTATTTTTCAACTGACATAGAATTAGAATTCCTTTCCACCTTTAACCATCAAGCGGATTCTTAATTCCACTGGAATTACAATTTCAGTTTTGACGACACACCACATTAACGTTACTTAGATTGAGATTGTAACCTCAATGAAATTACATAGCAATATTCTTGAGGTTACTGCCTTAGGAAAAATGAGGAATCAAGAGGATTTGGTGCATCCAAGGACCCACCCATCTTGTTGCCTTATCACTACTTGGTTCAAAATTCAAATATATAAAATTAATTTAAGAAAATATACATTTTTAATTACGAAACACTTTTTTATGAATATATTTGTTGATGGTTCAAAAAATTGATTTTTATTGGTAGGTAAAACCAGTGGCCTAATACGTATATTGCTATTTAGCCCTTGTTTGGTACACATTAAAATTTTCATTCTCATTTTTCTACTCATTTTCAATCACACATTTTTCAATAAAATAATATTTTTCATCACATCAATAATTCTTCCTTCTTTTTCAACCACACATACTCCATCAATCTACTATTCCAAAATACATTCTTCCAAAATAATGTGGCTCAAACACACCCTTAATATGAAATGATGTGTTAACTATCGCTGCAAGAATCATAATGAATTGACCGGCTCGATAAAAAAAATCAAAAAATGCATAAGAATGAAAAGTTAAAACTATAGTACTCGTCAAAATATGTTCTAAAATTGTTAGTACACCTGCAATACCCTTAACCTACCATTTTTTTTAAATTTTTTTTTTTTTTTGCGTGCTAGCATCTGATTTGCTTTTAAAACATTATTATTAACATGACTGATCTTCTATTCATAGTGAACATGAGATATCTTATTCGTCGATGCCACTTTATCGATATTTTAGACCCTATCGATGAGGTTACAAGATCTCATCGGTGGACAATATATCTCCTACTCACTATAGGTAGAAGATCAGTCATGTTAATAATGATATCTTACCGGTGAGGTGGTAAGACTACATTGTGCCGCCTAACCATAGACGAGATATATCAATCTTCTTATTATTAAATTAACAATATAAATGTACACCGCTTGGCAAATATTGTTGTAAGATTACAAAAATACCCTACTCTACGGACCACCAAAAGGAGAAAAGAATAAAACTGAAATTACTTGCAGGTTAAAAGCACTCAATTTTGCTTTAAACGCAATTCACTGTCGTGTAACAAAAGCATAGTATGAAGTACGAACCATATTGCATTCACTTTATTTGTTGGGGCAGGAGCCCACAGGTAGCTTTGTTCATTGTTAGGTCGAATTAGGTCATCGAAGATTATTCATTTTTGGAGGGTTGTTTGCATAAAATTTTAATTTTACTTCATAAATCCACGTAGGATAAAATAATCTTATAGAATACAATGAGGACACGTGTCAACCAGAATGACAGCAGTCTTTCCGCATGAGCGGAGCTCTAATATCATTCCTCCCCAAGTTCCATCTGTTAAGGGATATAAATCCCACATCGAATAATGATGTAAACACAGACCAATTAATAAAGATCATGGGCTACTCCTCTTAATAAGGTTGACCTTTTAAGATAGACCCCCAAATCTTGACATGGTATCAGAGCCCATTATGCTCCAACGAGCGATTCCATCCCGGTAAGACTCCAAAAAAAATGAGCACGTGGATTTCAAGATTGGTCTGCTCAAACGAGCCACCATCTTGCGGGGGCGTGTTAAGGGATATAAATCCCACATCGAATAATGATGTAAACACAGACCAATTAATAAAGATCTTGGGCTACTCCTCTTAATAAGGTTGACCTTTTAAGATGGACCCCCAAATCTTGACATGGTATCAGATCCCATTATGCGCCAACGAGCGATTCCATCCCGGTAAGACTCCAAAAAAAATGAGCACGTGGATTTCAAGATTGGTCTGCTCAAACGAGCCACCATCTTGTGAGGGCGTGTTAAGGGATATAAAGCCCACATCGAATAATGATGTAAACACATACCAATTAATAAAGATCATGGACTACTCCTCTTAATAAGGTTGACCTTTTAAGATGGACCCCCAAATCTTGACACCATCTCCGTGGAGTCGAGCCTTTAGGTTTAAGGAAAAGAACCAATCTTGGCGAAGCCAACCAAACTCTCTTAATCGAATCTAAATACATAGAAAGAATTGGATCTCAACAAACTTAGAACAATCGAAGCAACATCGAACAAGTCAGTATCATATCCTCTCGAAGGCAGGCATGCAAAGATCTCATGTGTTGGCGTGAAGAGAGCGCCACATGGCACAAACTTTAGAAGAACATGTGAGGAGTGTGATTTAAAATTTTTTATGAAAGTAACAATCAATCCAATGGTAGCAACCATGTGTCATGGAACCATCTAGAATTTCAAATCGTTAAGGATTCACCGGTAGTAACAAGGAGACTCATGTCCAAGTAATACCAAGAGATCGAAAAGTCCACTGACTTCAGAAATAAAATAATATTAGAAAGCCAAGCCAAATTCTTGTTTTTCATCTTCTAGACCTTTGTTGGGTCCATCAGGACATGTTCGATTGTGCTTAAAATCCAATTAAAATTGAAAATATAGCCGTTATTGGATCTCAATCGTCTAATAAAAGTCAACAATAACGGCTAGTTTTTCAATTTTAATTCGATTTTAATCTCTACCGAACACGCCAGTCATAGTAGTTCAAATTTAGCCTTGTTGGTGGGTCCAACATTTAGCTAGCATTTACTGTCGAGAACGTCAATTTTCAGCTCAACTAGATTGATTCAAGACAAATCGTGTCGGTTTCTTTATATGATCGACACATTGTTTGTTAGGACGTAGTAATTAAGAATTTAATTACTTTAAATGTTCTAATAATATCAATATAATGACAAAATAGATTTAGATGTTTGAAGGGGTCTTCTATTATCGGACTCAAAATTTCACTGAAAAAAAAAAAAGCAATCGTGCACATAACTTGTTATGAAACTAAGAGATTAAGAGATGAAAATAGAAGTAAAATAGAGAACAAGTGTATTTGATTATAAAGACGACTTTTTGGCATCGTAGTAAGACTAAATAGGTTACTGAATCGTCTGCCAATAACTTGCAAATGGATATATAAAGATAATAATTCTCTCCTTTTTTGGCTTTAAGAAACAAGACTATTGCCAGAACAAATTTTTTCCAACTTTATTTTAACAAATTCTTTGACCTCTAGGAGAAAAAGAGCCAAAGGGAGGATGCAGATGTGAATCTAAACTTGCTGTTCTCAGGACAGGAAAGCAGTTTCCATTTACAGGAATTTTTGTAAAGATTTTGAAGATTCTACACAGGCAGCAGCTATTAGTAACCACCAGTCGACCATAGGGCAGTGAAATCGTTCCGGCCTTGAACATATCGTCCATCGCACTGTCGACCTGACTCCAAATAAGAACTCTATGGATTTATTCAAATTTGCAAACTAACATACTTACAGGCTTATTTGGAAGGGTAGAATGTACAACACGTCAGACGGAATTAAAGAAAAACTTGCTAATGTATGGTTTATTATACTGTTCAATGCAATTCAATATTATGTACTAAACATGTGTGAGTATTATATAAAAGGCCAATTTGGTAGTTGACTCTACCAAGCAGAAAATCAAAAAGTCCAAAACCCCCAAAACACAGCATCATTAAATAGGAGTTCCAACGTTTTACTGAGTTTTAGATAAAAGTATAACAACCAAAATGGATTGTAAAAAGTCAAAATACTAGCATGAAGTGACTGTACAAAAATCAAATTTTCAGTTAGGTATGTAGATAATCACAATATGCCCCTTTCCTGCATCGCCCTTTTCCATTGTAAGGACATACTATCTGCCTCCTATTAAAAGGTCTAGGCCCCCCTATGCCGAAAGAGGCCTGTCCATTCCAAGGCCTTCCGCCACTAAAACCACCTGAGAATGGACCTCCATTGGGGTTTTGCTGGCCACCCCACATACCCTGGCCCCCAGCTGGTGCACCCCAATTTTGATTTATAAATCCCTGTGGTGGCACTTGAAGAGGACCTACTCCAGTTGACAGCCCTTGAAGAGGAGCTCCAACTCCAGTTGGTGATGGCCCCTGAACAGGAACTCCAACTCCAGGCAGTGGCCCCTGAATAAGAGCTCCATTTCCAGGTGGTGTCGCTCCCATTCCCACTGGTGGCCCCTGAATGGGTGCTCCTATTCCTGCCGTTGGACCCCATCCAGGTACCGGCCCTTGAAGTTGAACTGCTGTTCCTGTATTGCCATTTGGAGCACCCCAACTCGGAGTTGCAGCCCAACCAGGATGTGCATTTCCAGACACGGGCCCTTGAACAGTAGCTCCAGAATTTCCAGCAGGAACAACCCAATTAGAAGTGGTATTTCCAGTGGGCTGCACTTGAACAGGTACCCAGTTCATGTTCATACTTCCTGGCGTTTGAGTCCCCCAGGTCGCATTAGGATTTGCTTGCATTGTACCCCAGCCAGGGGTTGTATTTTCAGTGCAAGGGGCATTTGCCATCCCAGTGGGTCGCATGTTGGATTGAATGCCAGAAATCGGAGGTTGCCAAAAATCAGGTTGAGGCATACCTGTGGTACCTGAGTTTGAGGAATTTCCAGCAGAATTCTGAACAGTTGACATAACTCCACCCCAACCATGAGCTTCTTGTTGTCCATACTGTGGAATAGAAGCATTAGGCTCTACCTTCTCACTAGAAACACTATCCGAACCACGTGTTTCTACTTGACAGTCTCGACTAATAACAGATTGAACTGGCTGGACGGTCATATCTTGTGTGGTACACAGATGCCCATGCATCTGCACTGCATGTGGTTCACTAGTCACAGTTGGCTTGGGTGTCTTACGAAAATCTACAGATTTTCGGCCAACTTGTTCAGGTTTAGATGCTGGACTGGAAGCAGCAGCAGAAATCTGTACTGAAGAAGAAGCAGAAGAATCAGTCGTAAGTTGTGGCAAAGCTGCAGCAAGTGACTTGAGCACTGCACTGACAGCAGGATGTTGAGTTTCACCAGGGAGAGGGCCCAGTTCTCCTCCAGTCCAACCTCCATTACTTTGTTTCGGTGTAAGAGACGGAAGGTTTGATGAGTCATTTCCAAAACATTTTTCAGTAGAGAGATTAGGGTTCTGCACAGGCTTTTGTTCAACATTCGATCTCTTCATATCCAGGCGTAAGGAAGTTTCAAGAGTCTTGGCAGAATGATCAGACGAAATATGTGAATTATGCAGTTTATTTCCAACTTCCGGTAACTCTTTCCGATACTTCCCTGCCAAAGCATCAGTCAGAAGTATAGAATCTTCTTGCTTTTCTGCAATTCTCCAAATTCTTAGCTCTGTGGGGAAGTACCCTGTATTGCTCCATTTACGTAACTGCACTATGGAAAATGGTCCTTGTACTTTTCCAGAAGGATCTTGATAAAGCCACACCTTTTCAGTTTCATTGATCATGACGGCAGTAGAAGTTTCTACTAGCCCAGCAGAGACAGGTGCTGGGGAAGTGAGCAATGAAACAGCAGAAACCGCGACATTCAGTTCAACAGATTCAGAATTAGTAGTTGAACTCGGCTTCTCCAAATTGTTAGATTCTTGGGTGCATGTGTCTTGCTCTCTTCCTTGATTCCATGAATTTTCATTAACTTTCTCGACAATTCTTATAGCATCATTCGAAATATTTTTATCAGACAGATTTCTGCTTAATTCCCAGTTCTTAGTTGAATTTTTTCCAGCACCGCTCCAAGAATCTACCGCAGAATAATCACTTCCAGGAGAGATTAGTCCGCTTTCTCTCCTGCTAAAACCAGAACCTCCGGAGCCCATGTAAGCGGCTGGAGCCCATGTTATGTTTTAGAATTAGAACTCCATAATCATTACTGTCACATGATAGCAAATTAGAAAAGAAGGTAGGAAAAAAAATAAGAAGTAACCTCTTGGACTTTCATCAGTTTCACTGCTATTGTCATCAGACTCATAGCTTGGATCCATTTTTGGATCTACATGTATTTCAGGAATTTCCTCCAGTCTACGTTGACGCTCATCAGGGGTCTTCAAAATCTGTAATTTCTCCACACATTCTCTAAGCGTGAAAATACGTCAAGGATAACTAACATTTCTAGAGATAAAAACAAAGTCAGAATGAATACTGAAGGTCAAGCCACATGAAATGATGATTGCCACTGGACTGATACATGATTGTTCAAAACAGCCAACGTTCTAAGAGATCAACTGTTACTAAAAGTGGGGTCTGCTAAGCTTCAACCTTCATATGCATAATGTGCTAATTTTCTGCAAATTTGGAAAGTTGAAAAACAACTCTGATTTTGCCCCAGTTGAGAGAATTTTAGCACTTCTATTGTGATGGTAAAACACGCCAGAATTGCAGAACTACAAAAGATATTACGTCATTCCTCTTGAAAGCAACTTTTCATACTTCATGAATAGAAGTTAATTTGGCAACCAGTACCAGACATTCAAACAACATCAGGTAAAGCAAGGATAAAAGGTCTTCCCAATACCCAAGGCCAATGGTAATAAGCTTAGCAACCAATAAGAAAAAAATTGTTTAAAAAAAATAAAGCCCTGAATAAAAGTCTCATAAAGGACATCATTTTGCATAGAACTTCCAGTAATCAAACTGTAATGGGAAACAAGGAAGCACTTTTTGCAATGTTTCTTAAGATGGATCTCAGATTACACCATTCACTTGATTCTTGGAGTTCAGTTATAGGGTTTACTGTTGCACAGATCGACAATTTCAGAGGAAAATTTATATACGTGTAATTTATGTACTGGGGCATAAATGATTTCATTTTCATGAAAGAACCTTACTCATAAATCAAACAGCACCACGGTGACATACATACACAATGAAGAGGAGTAATTATCCATTGAACTGCAAGCAACAGATCCAAACTTCTGAAAGACAAGCAAATGCATATCTTGTTCCAGGGAAACATAAAACGATAAACTTAATAAATCAAGGGAGAAAGGATATTCCTTCCTACGCCCTAAATCACTTGCTCGATCACACAGATGACCAAGCCGCAAAATCTCGGATTCCAGCCACTGCACAGCACCATAATGAAATAACAAAACAAGATATAAAGAAGGCATATACATCAATAAATACTACTGTTACAGCTATATACTAAAGAAATCCACTGGAAAGAAAAATGTGCATCACATATCAACAAAGGAGCACAAACCTCAACAAAATGAGTGCAAAAACCATCAAATTTAAGTTACTATCCAAAACCCAAGAAATCATTAGCAAAGAAAATTGGTATGCAAAAGTCAGCCTATAGTACATAAAATGAGGAACTATTTTTCCTTCCTATTGTCTTCCTTTTCCAAACATTTTAATTCAAACTTCCCATTTTGCACTTCATTATTCTCGTGTGGGAAGTTAAATGGTGGTTCATTGCAGAATGCATCAAAGGGAAATATACAAACATGAAACCCTAAGAATAAGAAAAGAGAAAAAAAGAGTTGGAGACACTGTTATCAAAAGCAATCAAGGCTTAACCCTTGAGGCACCTTGTGCAAGGCATTCTTTAGAAACCCCAAAGCTTACACTTTGAGTGCCTTTGTCAAGGATTATGCCTTGCCTTACTTGAGCATACGCCTGAGGCATGGCCTTAGGGTGGTTGAGGCATGCGACAGAAACTTCACTCTTCTTTTAGTTTACATTTTTCTTCTTGTTGTCATTTTGTTTTCTTTCATTTGAGTTTCTTGGTCTTTTAAACTTAAAACAAGCAATATCTTAAATAATTGAACACTTGAGTCATCTGTTTCCGACTTTTATTCACAGCACATTAGCTCTAAGATTTCAGTTTCCAACCATGTTACCTTTCAAAAGAACTGCAACCACAGTAACCTGGGGCCTTGACCGGGCCGATGGTTGCGCCGGGTCGATAATTTTGGCTTATGAAAGTATGACAGCATAAAGAATTTGCAGTTGTTTAAAAAAGTTGTTTGAGGCTTACGTCTTACTCTAGCCTCACATGAAGCTCTCATTGAGCGCCTCGAAACTTAAGCCTTTAGTGCCATTTGTCAAAGCTTAAACCTTATTGAGGCATACGACTTCATAGTGAAGCTTACACCTCAAGACTAAACCTTACCTTTCTAGACATTTTGAGAATGTTTTACGGGTTTTTTATGTTTTTATCATTTTTTTGCTTTATACAGAAGGGGAAGCAGGAAGGCACAGTTGCAAGTGGGGAGTGATGACAAAGAATGAGAAGAAATGGTAATGATGAGGATGATAGTGTAATCAAATATATTGATGATTTTCTTAAACTACATCTGTTGTGATAATTATGGAAGACTGCTAGGTTATTTCTACTAGTACATATCAAATTTTGTTGTGATTAATAATTTGAAAACTTATTATTTGCTACTTTATTATGCTCTCTGATATTTCTTTACAGGTTCGACATTTAAATTCATTGCTCTATTTTGTTATAGATTTTCAATATGGTTTACAGTTCATCATGAGAATATTTTGTACTTCTATATTCTTTTGAATTATTTTATTTGTTTGTAGCCTCAAAAAACCTCAAGGCCCACCCAATCTCAAAGAGGTAAGATGCCTTGATACCCGACTTAGCCTTTTCTAATATTTGAGAGCATGTCAGCAGTTTTTTCCCTACACGCTACATCTTTCAAAGATCAGAGGTTTTGGCTAACCACATACAATCTTATTTCCTAGATAAGCTCTAAAAAGCTTATAAGCATCAAATGTGCTAATGTACTTCTAAGCATTGATGCTAATGTTCTCTTTGTATGGAGGAAAACAGAATTAAAAAGTCCCACTCAAATGCATTGTGGTTTCAAGCAAACATTTCTCAAAGAATCCATACAATTCCTCTTTTAAAATTGTCTCGTTAATTCATTTATAAAGGTTAATGGCATACACAGATATGCATTGGCAGCAGCCAGCAAGGTAATTGAGACACAAATTATCACCTCTTATAGTGGTAAACGTGATCATTCATGAAAATTTCAATCAATTTCCTTCAAGTTAGGAAATCGCATTGACAACATTTAGTCAATCAACAAAAACACATTTAATTATCATCCACCAGTTAGTAACTTAGTAGTTAACCATATATCTTTCGACCAAAAAATTGGGGAAATTAACATACATCATTCACTCTGGCTGCTTGCATTTCCATGGCCTTTTCAAGAATGTCACCCTACAATAACAAGAATCGTTAATTATGATGTGAATACCAAGCTGTAAGTGAAAGATGGAGGTAAGCGTATAATACCACGGTCGGCCTGCTGATAAGACCACATTTGATACTCTGGCGAAGCCGCTTGCATTCTTCCTGAAAAATTAAAAGAGTAGGTGATGTAGAACAATTCTACTTATATCAATAATTACAACTAGTTTTAGGATTTACTTATTATTGGTAATTAAGATTCATAATATTGATAGGATTGTATTAGTTTTATTATTTAGTTGCTAGGGTTCCTACTTCTACTAGGAGTAAATTATCAGTTTTCTTTTGCCTGGGCTTGAAGTTTTGGCCTTTCCGCTTAACCAAGCTTTTTAGAACATTGGAATTGGGGGATTACCTCTTCTTCCAATGCCTATATAAGAAGGATAGACTCGTTTGTCATCATCAATCATATTCATTATATTCAATTATTCTAGACAATATTCTTGAGGTACTTAGCTGTTTCTTGTTTTTACAAGACACAACTTCCGCTACTGCACTAAATTGGTTTTTTTATTAGTTTAGGAGTAGATTACTAGTTCTCTTATTCTTTTCACATATCATTTCTTTTACTCAGTTCACTAGAATTAGGAGATTACCTCTTCTTCCAATTCCTCCACTTTTATAGGGACGTTTCGTAGGATCCACAAGTACTGCCTATTGTAACTATCTCAGGTTCAGACATCATTGACATTAAAATAAATACATACAAGGATAAACCATGTAGTTTTGCAACCAATTTCAGATTGAGATGTCACAGCCATCATTTCCAATGAAAGAACTTTAAAAAAGAAAATGTTTAAAGCAAGCCTCAATATCTGGAAATATAGCATTACTCTGTATGGCGGACACCATTATTTCCTACAAAATGGCTGATCCACTTCTCGAACTGAGGTACTGGATATCAAATATGCCCAATCTTACCTCCATTTGAATAGCAGTTAAATGAAATGCATTTCAAAATCATGTCTATCAAGAGTGATTTAGGAGATTCAATGATTTACATACACTAGCAAGGCCACTGAAGCACAATAACGAACAGCACGACTACATCTAACAAGGGAATCCTAGCTTAGCTTGATCAATTATTTCCTGCTAATTAGTACTTGAAACTGTGGACATGTACCTGATTGAAACCAAACCCACAAGGAAATTCCTAGTGTTGCAACAAAGGGTCCACAAACTCAAGAGTGGGAGGTGGAGGAAAAGGTGTAATGACATGACCTCTATGTCCAAGCCATTATATCATAAGTACTGTCCACTCTAGGTGGGGCATCTGCCCACTTAACCCCTCACGGTTTTCTATAGCGTCCCCAGAATTCGAACCCATGACTTCTCCTTAAAAAAAACTTATGTTGAATCCCGGTACCAATTGAACTGGTGACACAATTCAACTCAAGTCTCTTTTAAGGGAAATGTTATGAGTTCGAATCCTGGGAACGCAATAAAAATCGGTAAGGGATTAAGAGGGTAGATGCCCTCCCGGAACTTAAGGATATTTTATGCTAGGAGAAAAAGAAGGTTCCTCTAAAGTTAAATTCAATCACCTCGGTGAACTCTTGATTTGAGACAATATCAATCGATATGATCTCTTTCTTGTTTAGATTTAATATCTCCAGCATAATGTCGGATGTCCTTTTGCCAATTTTGTATGGTTCAGCTTTGCTAGTACCTGCACAGAAAATAATTAGAATGACTCCAAAGAAATATAAAATGGTGTCCAGGGTGATCCATTGCCAACATTAAGTTCCCCAAAAATAATAAAATATACACAATCCTAACTAGCTTCAAGAGTAAAAGGTAATAAAAGGAAAGTAGCAAATGATTACCTAGAACTTGCACTAGTCTATACATATCTTGCTTCTGAAAACTACCAGAAATTCTTATTCTCACAAACATTCCAACAACTTTATCATGAAATGTCTCAACATCTTCAAGTAGATCCTCCATCAACTTTCGCCGTAGGTAAATTAAGCTAATGTTATGCATGTCGATTGCTGCATATTCAGCAACATTTGATTGAGGAGCACGGTTGTCACCTTTTTTACGCATTTTACGTTTCCTATCTTTAACCCCCTTGTTTAAGGTGTCAGCATTCCCATCAACCTCCAACAGGTCACTTTCAGTGTCAACAACACTCCCTTGAGCATCATCCATAGGTGAACCATCTTTTATAAGAAAATGAGATTCAAGAAGTTTTAACATCTCAAAATGTCCAACGCGTGATTTTCCAAATAAATTTTCAAATCTGGCATCACATTTAATTTGACTTTTCCGACGTGGGTCACGAAGTTTGTTTCTTTTGATATAGTCAAGCAAGAGAGCTTGTACAGCAAACTGAGATAGGACAGAAATGTCACCATTTTTCATGTGTGAAACAAATTCAAGAAGCTCTTCGGATGCCCACTTAGTGTTGTCAGATACAAAATTGCATTCATCTCCAGCTGTTGCACCTAAACTTACCGATTCCTCTTTTTTGGAGGGGGGTTTGGATTGTATCTTTAGCTTTCTTCTCTTAGGTTTCCGGGTTTCGAATTTTTCAATAGCGTCAGAGTCAAATCCTCGTCCATCATTAGCGTCTATCTGTGCCTCTGGTGACTCTTGTTTGATGGTGCCAGCTGTTCCCTTCCATGGATTCTTAGCACCGGCAACTTCAACTGAAGATAGGTTAAGTTTAGACTTCAGTTCTATATAATAATCCTTGAAGAGATACTCCCAGCTATTTCTGTCATCAAAATCTATTTCAGCCTGCATCAGTCAAGGATGAGAGCAGGCAATCAAAATCCTTTACACAACCAATTTCTTTATCTCTTAGAGGGGTGGGGGTGGGGATTGGGGATGCAGTTTAAATATAACAATCATAAATTGAAAAGTGTAATTTTCTCATGAAATAGTTTCTTGCAGCATATGAAAACAAACAGTGAAAAGCAGAACGGTACCAAGAAAAAAATACGCATAACCATAATCAAGACAATACCTTGCCATGTGAAATTGGAAATAATTATTCGGAGGCAAACAGGAGAAGGCTATTTGATGTGATGTTAAAGCAAAATGCTAGTTTCTCCTGACCTAATGTCTCATTCAGATGTTCTAAAATACAATACATCACAGAATTAAAGGTTACAGGTTCTTATAACTGGTTTTGCATAGGTATAAATGTAAAGCTTTTCAAAATTACACAGAATTATACCAAACGGATGAAGATGTGTCCTTGGAGGAGAATTCTAGAAATATCAAAAGGAAACAATTTCCTAATCCTCATTCCTTGGAAGAACAAAAAAATTATTTCCTTACATCACATGACGATGTGTAACCTACAATCAAGTGATCAAATACAAACGTATGCACATAGTTTCTGAAGAAGACATATTAGGGTTCAATGACACAAAATTACATGCAACTAAGGTGTCCAGGAGCACAGAATTTTCCCAAGCATAGACATATGGGCTTATTCGACCCAATTTTTCATGGATCAAATGAATACCTGCTCAAACAAGCTTAGTCTAACTTGAGCAGGTTTTGAAATTAAGAGTTAATCTGATTAATATATCAAATATCCCTTAACCTGCTTAGTCATATATAGAGGACCAATAATCTCAATGCAAATTGAACTGTGGGTAGTACAAATTACAAACCACATTAAAAGCCCTTTTCTGACATGGAAAAGTTTCCTCACGAGCCTTTAATGCAAAATTACACAGCCAACAAATGAAAACAAAATATATTGAACCACATACATATGAACGTCAGATAAAAATCCAAAGGATAAAGAGTTCACTTTCCAACCCCAGCAGGCGAACTTTGATGGAAGCTAACAGTAGGTAGGTTTTGTGCCTCGGAAGGGTAAAAGGGGAGAGAGAAAGAGTAACTATGAGAACTGATGGAATGAAAGATAGCTGACAAAGGAAAGGAAAAATTATCACCAACTCACACATGACATTTTCCTCTCAAAAGCATTGACCACTAGGCAGGACCTCTTGGCTCCTTCAGGTGAACCAAATTTGACATTCATCGGCAAGTGTTTGTGTTAAAAAATCTACAATGGCTAGAGTTCCTTGGTTTTGTAGCTTCTAAATTGATAAATTTAAAACATGTCAATCTGCAGCAAGGTACAGAAGGTGAAAAGCGAAATTTCTGTTCTTCTTGTTCTTGTTCTGTTCTTGCTTGTGTAGGGTTTCTATTATATGCTATATCTCTGCACAATTTCTATCTATTTGAAGGCAATAGCTGAAGGTACAAAAACTAAATCTGGACCACGATCAAATCTGGACCATTTGAGGACAAATGGATTCACATAAAAAAACAATCCCATTTCAACTTCCAAAGATGGAACTGACCAATCAAATTGAAAAGTTTAATGATCCAGATCATCCATGATGTGGCTCGTTGAAAGCAATCCAAAAGCAAAACGGAAATTATCTAAAACTAAAAAAAATCGTGTATGACACAGGCAGGAAATAATATAGAATATTGAATTGTGAGATAAATGTAATTGCTAACACTGCCAAACTGAAGGTAGGATACATGACAAAACCTCATACCACCAGAGAGAGAGAGAGGGACGATAGAAGTACATACATCCTCGTTTCCTGGTTCATTGTTCTCAATTAACAAGACAAATCTCATGCAGGTCTCACAAAAGCCTTTGTTTCCACGAACACATAAAATAACAGCATCTTTAATGCAACCCTTGCACAAGGAAAATGCACATGTATAACACTTATAGTGTGCATTCTTCTCGCAAATGCTGCACAAATGCCAACCTGAAGTACAAGAAAAGATAGCATGTGTATCAGTCAAGAGCAAACTACACAGACTTACATGTTTCTAATTACAGCAAGAGCGAAGTGTAGAAGCACAGCAACAATCAAAACTTAAAAAGTAGCATATATATAACAGATATAAACAAGTTCCTCCAGTCAAAAGATCCCAAACTACGCATGTTGCAGTGAAAAACCTAACTACTAGTATTGCATACGAAATCAATCCAACACAAAAACTAATAAAAAAATGTCTACAACTAATGAACCGTAGTACAAACAGAACATGCCAAAGCAATCAGTGAAGAAAGTCACTATTAATGCATCATTGTAAAGTTTGCATATCTGACTGAGGTAATCTGTTTTCTGTGGTAATAATAACTCATAGATCAAATTAAGAAGACAGATATAACACCTTGCTATGTAGCCAATGGGAATTCAAATTACCTATCATGTGACCTGGATATCAAAAGAAGCTAAATCTGAGAAGTAAGTAATCAGACTCATTCACATCCACTCTATAATGTTTGGAATTCATTATATGGATGGAAACTTCATGCACAATACTCGGAGGTAACTTGCAGGATTGTTTACATAAACTTATCAAACGTAACATTCACTACTTATCTCCAATTACAGATGTGAACTCATGCGGAAATAGAGAGGGGCACTTACCACAATTCCAGATCCCCTTGGCTTTGAAAAATGCCTCATCTCTATTAACACAAGAAGGATGATATGCTTTTGGGCAACCTCTGAGAATTCATAGGGGAAATTTTGATAAGCCCGTAAAACACATAACCAACAAACATATTTGAGAATCGCGGAAATACATTTTTTCTGGCTACAGTCTAAAGATTATATGTCACAATACAAGAAATTCACCTGCGGTCACACATCACGAGGTCCCCACCATCGAAGCAAATGAAACAAACATCATCTCCCACAAGCTTCCTCCCTGAAGCTTTTGCTGCAGTCTTCGAACTTGATGGAGTCTTTGATTTCTTTCCTTTCTTCTGCTTACCTCCAGAAACTTTCCCAGTGTCAGCCACATTAATTTCAGTCTCCATTTCAGTGTTGTGAATCCCTGCCTCCTCCTCAGCAACCATTGCTTCATCCTCTTCATCTTTTACAGCAGCCAGTGAATCACCCAACTCCTGACCAGACTCACCCACATCGTCATTTGTTTTCTCAATCCCCATTTCACTCTCTATTGCCAATTTTGTGTCCTTGAATGAAATCCTCTCGGACAAATTGCCACTTTTTGCCTCCATCACAGTTTCTGTCTCTGTTTCCATTTCAGTATCTGCTGCTGGAATCTCCTCCTCAGCCACTGCTTCCTCTGCAGTTTCAGCAATATTAGCAGGCTCATCTGACTCTGAAGCCTTTGAAACATCCAGATTTATATCCTTCTCCTGCACCACTTCGGTTTCCATCAGTAAGTTATCCTCAGCAACCAGACCTTTATCGTCAGCATACTCACCGTATACGACCTCCAATGACTGAGTTCCAACAACTCCCACACCACCATCTAATACATGAACCTGCTCTCCTGCACTCGCACTGGTACTGGTACTGGCTCTGGCCACCTCAGAATTAGCCTCATTTGTCATCCCAAACTCCATTTTGGCTTTGGAGGTCGAAATCTCCTCTACAGTTACTTCGTCAGCAACCTCAATTTCTGAATCATTTAAGTCAACAGCAACCTTCTCCTTACAGTCTATAGCATCCTCTATCGATACCTTTGTATTGCTTTCCACCATTTGAAATTCCATTGGCTCCACCCCCGCTACTTCCTCATTTTCAAACTTCTCTCTATCACCTATCTCTAGCTCAATCTCTGTCTCAGTTTTAGCATCTGATGCCTCCAATTCCTCTCTCACAACCACCGTTTCCACTCTTGAGTCAGCCACTGGCACCAAATCTTCCCCGCCTTTTTTACCTAGTTCAAAATCCCCAACATTAGAAACAGCTATTTCACCACCATGCGATGCCTCTGATTCCTCTCTCACAACCACCATCTCCACTTTTGTGTCAACCACCGGCACCAATTCTTCCCCGCCTTTATTACCTAGTTCTAAATCCCCGACATCAGAAACAGCCATTTCACTACCACATGATGCCTCCAATTCCTCTCTCACAACAACCATATCTACCTTTGCGTCAGCCAGTGGCACCAATTCTTCCGTGCCTTTTTTACCTAGTTCAGAATCCCCAACATCAGAAACAGTCATTTCACCACCATGTGATGCCTCCAATTCCTCTCTCCCGATCACCATCTCCACTTTTGTGTCAGCCACTAGCACCAATTCTTCCCCACATTTTTTGCCGAGTTCTAAATTCCCAACATCATAAACAGCCATTTCACCACCATCTTCCACCGCTTCCACTTCACCTTCCACCACCGGAATTCCCTCCACCGTCTCCTGGCCCGCCTGTCCACTATCAATTACATTAAAAACGAGTTCCTCGCAACCTTCTGCATTCCGCTCCCTCGCCACCTCCGCCTCCAATCCCTTATCCACCGCTTCATCTCTGTCCACAATAGCACACTCTACTCCACCTTCCACTTCCGCCGGTTTCTCCTCTGTCACAACCACTTCATCTTTCACATGACAATCACTTAACTTCGAATCACGCAATTCAGGAAAAAACCCGCATTGCTCCTCGCATTTAATCACTTCCTTTTCCAATTTTTCATCTTCCATTACCGTTTCTTCCTCCAAAAACGCCCGATTCACATTTGATAAATTCTCTTCGTCAGCCTCCATGGATACAGGATACTCAACCCTTTTTTCAAAACCCTAGCCCTTGAATTTGTGTAGGCACCGGACTATAGGTGAATACAGATATACATACGTGCATTCGTGCTTCGAGAACGCGCAATGCTGATGAATCCTATTGTCGCTTGCTTTTAGAGGTTTTTTTTCTCGAGGAGCAAACACGTGAAATTTAGGGGAACCGAAGCTTGTCAAAGCCCCAACTCGCAACTAATTTGTACCTTTGCACCAGTCACGTAAAATAATATTTTGCATTAAATCAATAAATTTTATTTACTTTTCAACCACATATTCATTATCACATAAAAAAAAAAAAAACATTCTCTTCTTAAAAAATGTGCATCAAACACACCCATAATTATGCATGCTACACACACAACTTACAAATGGATGCATACACGATTTAGTGAAATATAATTATAAATAAAAATAATAACGATATTTGTACATAAAGAATTACAAAAATTTTATCAATATGATCCATGTTATTTTCAAAATACATTTTTCACTTTATTTTTTTCAACCACATTTTCATCAATAAAATAATATTACACGCAAATTCCAAAAATTTTTATTATTTTTTAACAACACATTATGTATTAATTTATTATTTCAAAATGCATTTTTACCCAAAAAAAAAAAAAAGAAATGGGACTCAAACATGCNAAAAAAAAGAATGGGACTCAAACATGCTCATAAGGTGTCAGAAAGAGAGTGAATAATTTTTTTATTATTATTATTTGATTGAAATCAATTTAATTCAATTATTTCTCATCACATTATGTATATGTACACTAATTTGTAAGTGGTAATGTATATGTACAACAATTGAAAAAAAAAATCTCAGACCCTGTTTGACATATATTTTTTCAAAACTTATTTTCAACCATACGTTTCAATAAAATGATATTCTTCATCACATCAATAATTTTTCTTTATTTTTTAACAACATATTTCTCATCATATCAATTATTTTCTCAATAATATCAATCAAACACCTCATTACTCTTTTTTTGACACTTCATCTATTCATAAAACTTTTTATAATTCATTATAACTCACTAACTCAGAACTATTCTAAAATTTAAGGTGTAAAGGCATATTTAAAATATGATTATTAATATTTGAAAATTATTAAATTAAATTAAGCTCCCGTTTGGCCCAATTATTTCAAATTATGATTTTTAAAATAAATTTTTTTGAAAAATATATGATTAAAAAGAAGGAAAAGTTTTTGATTTATATATAATATTATTTTATGGAATATTGTATTGTTGAAAATAAGATAGAAGAATAAAATTTTGAGATAATGAGACCAAACAAGGGCTAAAGATAAAAAGATGTGAATACTCTTTCATTGTAAAAAAAAAAAAAAAATAAGAATTAATATGAGAGAAAATTCAATCAAATAAATGACGTTTTTATACACTGTTGTGTCGTCTCTTTCAACACTAGATCCTCATAATTTCTACTCTATTTATTCATATTTATCTTTAAAATTTAGTACAAATATCTCATGAATAGTTCTTAAAAGTTAAGGGTGTATTTGATTTGCTGTTTTCGAGTTATTTTCAATTTTCAATTTTGTAAAATATTGAAAATATGTTTGATTTGGTATTTTCAAAAATACATTTTCTAAAATATGGTTAAAATTATGACATAAAATTCAAAAAATATTTTTGACGTTTTGAGTGTTTTGGGTTAAAATTATGTAAATACTCAAAATGTAGAAAACAAGCATTTAAATAAGATTTTAAAAAACAAAAACATAAATTCGAACAAAAAAAATTCAAAAAGTAAATTTGATAAATTCTAAAAATGAAAAATAAACTCTTAAATTCTAAAATATTCTGAAAAATATGAAACAAAAATTAAGAAAAAATAAAGATCATAAAAAAACAAAAATAAAAATAGTTTAAGCTCTCAATGATAATTTACATAAAAATTATAAAAAAAAATTAAACGAACATAAATAAAAATATTCATAGTCCATGTCACTTGTTTTTATTTTTTCTTTTAATATGTTGAACTCAAATTATTATTTATTTTTATTTTACTTTTATAGTGAGAAAAAATATTGTAAAATTCATGAACTTTAAAATCTATTTATTATTTAATAATATATTTACATAATGTTATTGTATTTTTACTGATTAATCAAATTTAATAGAATAAAATATCATAAAATAAATTTTCAAAATTATTAAAGCAAAAGCGTTTCTAGTTTTTGTTTTGAAAAATATTTTTTTAAAAATAAAAAATCAAATGTATTTTTAGTAATGTTCTAAAAAGTTCGCCTAGATGGTGTTTAGCTTGAAGTTTGGGCAAAACGTCTCGCTTCGCGTCTAGACGTTTTTCGTTTTCAATTTCTAAATGGCTGGATGTTTTCCCTAACTTCTTTCGTTTTCTCTAGGCGCGCTTTATTAGTATTTTTTATTTTTTTCTTTTTTTAATAGTCTTTTATTTTACTTTAACTTATTAATATTTTTATTTTCAAAAAATATTTGACTTTAATTTAATTTTTTTAAATATATTGTATCTGTACAAAAATTAAAAATGACTTTATCTAAATAGTTAAATGAGATTTAAGTTATGGTGCTATCTACATTATGCAATTATGATCTTGAAACTTCTTATTTTGTTGCAAACTCGAAAAACATGTATGAAGTTCCTATAAATTATTATGTAGAACTTGTCTATTTGAAAATTAAAATTATGAAAAATATTCAAATTTTGTATTTCGAAAATTTGAAAATTATATAATTGACTAATGGTATGAATTATTAAGTAAATATGATATTTTATAATTTTAAATATTTGTTATGTATTATTTTAATTATTAAATAAATTTTTAAATGATTAAAAATTTAAAAATAATATTAAAAATAAGAGAACTTTTTTCTACGCTGGAGCCTCGCCTAAACTCGTAAGGTTAGAAATTTCGCCTCCACACCTAGTCACGCTTTACATTTTTTAGAACAATGATTTTTAATAATCGTAAAACAAACTAGGATTGGATTGGACATGGTCCAATTCGATTCGGTTCTAAAGAGGATCAAGCCAAACCAACATTTCTGGATATTTAGTAAGTGGAATCATCGGCTCCAAATTTAATTATGGAACCGAACCAGTTCGGTTCGATTCTGTATCATAATTAATTTTTTTTTAATATTTACAATGATACTACTTTAATTCAGCTAATGATATGTTTAATATTAACTTTTACAAAATAAAATAATTCAACTTAAAATATACAAATAGAAATTTATCTAATAAGATGCATTTATCAATTGGATTAAACTATTCTATCATGCCTGTAAAAGGCCTGGTAGAGTGGTTGCCTCATATGAGGTGGGTCCTCATTAAACCCCCCCTTCCCCAAATGTTTTATCACCCCCGCCCTCATGACTCGTTGGCTCTACCAGATCTTGTACCGATCTGGTAGAGCAACACGGTCCTTATCAATTTGCTAAGAAGAAATAATAACACCGAAATATCAGTAATTCCATCATTTAATTCATTTGTTTCAAGCCTTCAAATTTACTTGAGAGTTGGACTTAGCCCTTTGGAGTTTGAGTATTGGACACTTACAATTAATCACTAAATTAGTTAATTGATAAATTTATTTAGAAAAAATTAAAATAAGTTAACCTATTCAATATGAAAAAAATTTAGAAAAGATTGATTCATGTTGTAGAATCGAGAACTGAACCAAATTCGTCGATTCTCGATTTTAGTATCTATTTGGATGTTTAATTTAAGAAGAAAAGAATCGCTTGGTTCCGTCTGGGAGTTTTGCATAGCCATAAAATAAACTCTCTATATAAAAAATTGAAAATAAACTCAAAATCCAAAATTGAAAATTGAAATGCAAACAAAATTGCCCCTCAACATTTTAGGCCTGTTTGGTGTAGATAAAATTAATTTTTAGTAGATTTAGATAAAAATTAATGGAGTGTGTGGTTAAAATGTTATACATCTCATGAAATGTGTGATTGAGATTAAATTTTGATTTTGACTTAAATTTTAATTGACTTTTTAAGCTGAACAAAACAAGGGGTTTGTATTTGAAGAACATTTTCATTTTCATGCATTTAGTTTATAATTGTTAAATACTATATTGGCTTACTTTAGCGTGTTTATATAAATGAGCAAGAATTATTAGATCTCTAGTAATTTTTTCTACAAATTTATTGAAAAAAAGATTGCATTTTATGTTGTGTCACATGAAATAAATGGTATGATAACCTACTAATGGATGGTTATTTTATTTGTTGAAAGTTGGCTTTTAATCGGCTATTTTTAATGGACGGATTGTAAATAGATAGTCGATTAACCTACAAACTTTTAACAAGCATTTGGTTGCCTACCACATGTTAAGAGACAGAGTCGGTTAACCGACCGTCTGAGTTAGCAGTCATATATGACTAACTTTTTTTCAATTTTGTGTTGAAATTTAAATATAGATTCGACACTCTTTTTATTACCTGGGTGAGTTTGTAAGGAATGATCAAGGCAGATGGACATGGAAATGGAACGAGAGTAATGGAGAATATGGGGTTATACTTCATTTATCTATGAATGCATTGTATACAAATGTGTATCATGATGTACAAAATCTCTTTAGTATTGATTCCTCTAAATACAAAATGGAGTATGGATTTTTTTTTGACAGTATACATCTTTTAGTTCCAACGATAAAGATTAATTTACACAAGGAATTTAAGTAGTTGATTGACCTCAACTAGATGTACTAGTCTCCTATTTGTGTAACTCTTATGAGGAATGATATTTATGAGAATGAACGTGAAGTTGGTGATGAATTGAAACTGATGTGGATAATTTTTGGGATAATGGAGATAGCTCGAGATGCCGATATGGTTATTTCGAAGACAAATACTACGCATAAGCCCCATATAGTTCAAGATAACGAGTAGAAAATCTTATTTATAAATAAGGATCTCATTGTTTTATCTACACGTAGATATGAA